AGCTATATCTGTGTGACACTGCGAGACAAACTGCAACCCCAATATGTAGCAATTCAATCCCAATATGGCATTTTGTCCATATCAAGCCTCAGTGTTAGGGAGTGTGTATAGTGTCAGTCATGTTGAATGTGTGTGTGAACGTGCCTATCCGGGGGGGTGGGAGATGTGCAAGTGTGTTTTGCCAGTATTCTCCCCTGTGTTTTGACATTCTGGTGGGTGAGCCAGACGACAGGCAGGCTTTGTTCTCCCAGGCTGATCGTTATCACTGCCAATTGTTTGCAGAGGCCGCGGATTCAGAGCCTATCTATACCACTCAAAACCCTGCGGTCCAGTGACAGCCTGTCCATCTGAGACAGATAGAGAGAGAGAGAGGGAGAGAGAGAGAGAGAGAGAGAGAGCTACAGCGAGAGAAAGATGAGCCAGGAGGAAACCAAAGAAGAACACAGAGACCACGGAATATCGGGAAAAGACATCAAGATAACATACTCAGACTAGAAAAAAAAAAGCAATAAAACTAAAGCAAACGAAAATAACAAAGGCACAGAAGATACTAAACCTCATGATTGATGACAGTGATTCCAAAAGAAGCAAATTACATTGGGTAATATGGTAATATTTAATATCAATCTTACAATAGAAGGCATTTTATTATTTATTTACTTATTTATTATTAACCAAAGGAAAACAAAAAGAATGAGTCAAGAAAATCATAAATTAAGAGGATCAAGAAAAAATCAATAAAGAGGAAGTGTAATATCTCTGTTTTACCTCAAAATGTATTGTTTGTATATGATCATTATTATTATTGCGTTAGACCCTATATTTACGGCATGCGGTGATGTATTGATTTATGTTTTTTTAGTTTTTTTTTTTTTAATTCTCCCAAGTTTTTTATAAATAATCAAGCTAACATTTAAAGAGTCCATTTTCTGGAAAAAAATGTACTAATTTTCCTAATGTACATTTTTTATATATATGTTTGATCTATCTATCCATCCATCCATCCATCCATCATCTAAACCGCTTATCCTTCTGGGTCGCGGTGAGGTGCTGGAGCCTATCCCAGCTGTCATTGGGCGGAAGGCAGGATACACCTATCACATATTTGATCTAGTAAACACTAAAAATTTTTTTAAACATGCTGTTTGCTCCCCAGTCCATACAGTCTGCACATGAAAAATGAGCCACAAAAGAAATATATTTTGAATTTTTTTGTGATGAATCTACATGTATCCACCTAATCACCCACCCATTCACACTGAAGTTATAAGGAGTGTTTCAGCACAGACTGTTTCTTGAATAAGGCAGAATACACATCAGCCAGTTAGAACACACACACACATATAAATATATATTTATTTATTTATTTATTTATTTATTCATTTATACAACAGTTAGTTCCAGCCACGCAAGCTGATTGGTTGAGAAGCGTTCTAACTCTGTTGTTATTTTGCCATAACATCACATTTTTTCACAAACACTGTATCACTCCGCTGAGACGATGTTGCTAAGCAACGACTTTGACAGCTGTAGGAGACGCTCAAGCCATTTGAACGTTTTTACTTCTTATTTTGTGCACAAACAGAAAATGGACACTTTTAAGATCGCATTTGACCGACAGCTGATTTGGTCAGACTCTGAAGATGAGACTACACTAAATTCCCAAACAGTCAGCAGCTGTGACAGAAGAACAGCTGAACAACCTGGAATCAGCCAGAAATGAACCCAACACCATTCGCCAAACTAAATGGGCTGTAAGATGCTTTACAGACTGGCTGGAACAAAACAACATTAATACTGATCTGGCAAAAACTGACAGAACTGAGCTAAACTTGATATTGCGGCAGTTTTATGGCTCAGTCTGATTTGGTTCTCTAAAGAGAGTCTGGAAAATAGTCATGTAGAAATAAATTAAGATGTTTTTGGTTTATAAGCCCACACAAAAGTCATAAGCAGACGTAAAGCAACAAAGTAAAATGCAAAAACATGTAGGATAAGAGCCCTTTAGTCAACAACAAACCTCATCCCATCTTAGAGCTGCTCATCACAGACCAAAAACAGCGACAAGGCTCTCAGACCCGAAACTAAACGGTACAAATTGTCTGATAAAAGAAAAAAACACCAAGCCACTCTCTTTCTTCACTGGACGACTCTGAAACCACGTAATTCAAACAGTGTGATTGTTGTAAGGCAGCGTTGTTATGATGGGCAGGGTGGACTCGGTTGCTGGACAGGATCTGAGAGGATGGCTTTTGGTGAGGTTTGGGGGAAGAATGCCACACGTCGCTGCCGATGAATAACAAGATTGGGCAAACTATGCAAGCCATGTAAAAACAGGCCGTATTACAAACAAAACAATCAGTCAGTGGTATTGGGAGATGCTTTCCCAAACAAAGGACAAAGTCGAAGTCTCTCAATCTTGCCGTGCAAAGACATATCTCACTGGGATGGAGCAATGCTGTTGCGGTGGAATGTTGATGGGGGGGGGTGGGGTGGGGGGGGGGTCGATTGCACAGTCATAAACAGTGTCTGCTTTAGCGAATTGTCAGTTTTTACCAGAATGATCTGACAGGCATCACATTGTTATGCATGTTATATAACAGCATTCACAACAACAACAAGGAACACATAACTTGTTTCTCAAAAATGAATAAAAATTGTAGCTGTGATAGAACAACTGTATCTATTGGTCATTCAATACATTTAAATGTACTGCAGACTGTTTTACAGCCTGAAAGCAATAATTGTGGAGCGATTTTAATCCAGTATGTATCTGCAGTGTGTGTAGTTTTACAGTCTGACAGTAATAATTGTGGAGCGATTTTAATCCAGTATGAATCTGCAGTGTGTGTAGTTTTACAGTCTGACGGTAATAATTGTGGAGCGATTTTAATCCAGTATGAATCTGCAGTGTGTGTAGTTTTACAGTCTGACAGTAATAATTGTGAGTGATTTTAATCCGGTATGAATCTGCAGTGTGTGTAGTTTTACAGTCTGACTGTAATAAATATGGAATGTTTGTAATCCAGTTTAATTAGCTTGTAGCCTTTCGTATTAGCTGACTAGCTCGGCCAGCTGGTTACAGAAATGTTATCTTTTAAAAACTCGCAATTTTTAGTCGTCATTACTCAAGAACCTGACAAAATGAAAAAAGAAAGTCAGTCAGGATGTCATTTTAAACCATTTTATAAACCAGCTCTCATTTTTTGTCCATTAACCCAGTAAAAGTAAAAATAAGTCGTTTGAAATGATGTCATTTGATATGATCACGATTGTCTGTTTCATAAAACTTGTTCCACAATTTTGAGACCCTTGTACCTCTGTTGCAGCCGACTGTTAAGTGAGTTGCGACGCTGTTTTCATTATGCAGTGTAGTTTCAAATAGGTTTCAAGCAACTGAACTTTTAAGGTTCTAAATGAGCTAGCACCCGCTTACATCACAGAGCGTCTATCTATGTTCCAGCACGAGATCTTAGATCTGCAGATACTGACCTTCTACAAACACCTTCTTTAAAATACAGAAAACGATCTTTAATTTGATGTATTTTTTTAGATGATTCTAAAGTAACACTTATAATTTCTTGTATTATTGTTAAGCTTTATCACCTGTCTGCAAAGTACAATGAGCCGCCACTGGTGTGAAAAGTGCTGTAGAAATAAAAATGATTATTATTATTATTATTGAAGCTGCATGGAAGTTTCACCTTATAAAGCCAGCCTAAAGCCTAAAGGTACCTCACAGGTAACTGTTGCAAAGAAGAGCAGCACAGGAACATGATAAGAAGGACACACCGAAACAAAAGCTTGTTCATGCCCTCGCGGCGATCACGTCCAACAGCTGAGTGTCATTTCATTTCGCCAGGGTGGTCCGAGAATACGCAGGACCCGAGCTTTAATGTGTTTTGTATTTGCCGAACGGAACTCCGTCATTAGAGGAAGTGGGAGTCCCATTTAAGCAGCTATTAGCTATAATGGCCGGCCTTTTTCTTTTCCTTTTTTTGTCCGAGCTCCGCGCTCACCAGGGCAATTTCCAAACGTAACAGAATCCTCTGGAATCCTGCAGGCCTGTTGTGAGTTATGGCTGTTTTCGGGTTGGGAGTTCCGCGGTGACAGAGAGCAGCGGGTCCATTCCCTTTGGCAGTTCACCGCGTAGCGTTGCGTAGGGGGGGCGGGGAGGGGACGAGGGGGGCAGACAGGTTGTTTTTCGACCCCCGCGCGCCTACAAGGTGAAGGAAGGTACCGGAGGAAATGGGCTGGGGTTCAGCAGGGCCCAGGTGCTCAGGCTAATGACTGTGTTTGTTTGTGTAGATGTGGGCTAATGCATTTCTAATGGCTCTCTTATGACAGCAATTGTATCGAACCATTCAGCGTTTGAAAACTGTGTTTTCATAAATTTTTACATTTTTTTTTCTCCGCACGTTGTTTCCTCCAAGAGATTTAATCACTGTCTCATTCTCTCTCGTTGTTTTCCTCTCTTTCTCGCTCTTGCTCTTTCTCTGTTTCCATCTTCTCTCTCCCGCTGTCTTCCTCTCTTTCTTTCTCTCTCTTTCTCGGCCTCTCTGCCATTATTTTTCTTTCTGTTTCCCCATCTCCCTCACTCTCTTTCTCCCCATGTCTCTCTCTCTTTCTTTTCTCTTTCTTTTTTCTTTTCATCTTTCCTTTCCTCATTTTTCTCTTTCTCTATATCTCTCTCTTTATCTTTCTCCATGTCTCTCTCTCTGTTTCTCTTTTTCTTTCTCTGTTTCTCTCTCTTTTTCTCTCTGTCTCTCTCATCTCTTTCTCTATGCCTCTCTCTCTCTGTTTCACTCTTTCTTTCTCTCTTTCTCTCTCTTTTTCTCTCTGTCTCTTTCTCGCATTCTCTTTCTCTCTCTGACTCTCTCACTTTCTCTTTCTCTCTCTCTGTGTCTTTCTGTCTGTCTGCCTGTCTGTCTCTCTCTCTCTCTCTCTCTCTCTCTCTCTCTCTCTCTCTCTCTCTCTCTCTCTCTCCCTCCCTCTCTCAGGTTCACTCTCTATGCTGTGGATAGCCGTGGTAGCCGGTCAGACTCTACCTATGTGACCGTGCGCACCTCCTGCCCGATGGTGGACGACAGCAGAGCAGAAGGTATGTTTTCCTCTCTCTCCCTCTCTCTCTCTCTCTTTCTCTCTCCTCTCTCTCTCTCTCTCTCCTCTCTTCCCTCTTTACCCTCTCCTCTCTCACCCGGCCACGTTCGCTCTCCAGCCGGGATGATTGTATCTTCACAAGTGTCTGTGGCGTGAATGAACAGTGAGCAGTGACCTGACGGAGAGGTGGCAGGTCAGGATCTCACCCAGCCGAGGTGCCACAGCTCCATTTCCTTTCAGTTCAGCATGACATCATCCACAGTGGCTGCTGCAAGACACAGCCTGATATGGTTCCCACGCCAGAGAACAAAAAACGGACATACAGTTCTGTGCAAAAGTCTGAGGTGGCCGAGAAAAATTTATCTGGGCAGTAAGTGTGTTTTTGCCGGTAAAAACATAGTAGAACATTAGAATAAATAGAAAATAAACATAAAAAACATGTGAAAATGTTTAGAAGAATAGCGTTAGAGGAACTCAGGGTTTGTTCGTGACTTCTTGCTTCACCCATTGCATGGACACCTGATTTAGTTTAATGAAGGATTGATCAGATAAACTAGGCATGTAAAAAATAAATAAAACATGGAATTTGACCAGGGGTGCCCAAACTTTTGATGTCTTAGCGCCAATGTTCCAAAGGAAGAAAAATATGTGTAGGCCTGCAGATATATCCTCAGATCCAAAAAAAATCAATGTGAACCTACACTATATAGACAAAAGTATTGGGACACCTCTCCTAAAAGTTCAGGTGTTTGTCACACCCATGGCTAACAGGGGGATAAAATTAAGCACATAGCCTTGCAGTCTCGATAGACGAACACTGGCAGTAGAATGAGTCAAACTGAAAGCACACCGCCACTGGACTCTGGAGCAGTGGAAACGTATTCTGTGGAGTGATGAATCACTTTTGAGATGAACTAGAACGGAGATCGTGAGCCAGGCCCTCTCGTCCAACGTCAGTCTCTGACCTCACAAATGCTCTTCTGGATGAATGAGCAAAAATTTCCACAAACATACTTCAAAATCTTGTAGAAAGCTTTCCAGAAGAGTGGAAGCTGTTATAGCTGCAAAGGTGGGTCAACTCCATATTAATGCCTATGGATTTAGAATGGGATGTCATAAAAGCTCCTGTAGGTGTGATGTGTAGTTGTCCCAATACTTTTGTAGGTATAGTGTTCAGCACAAATTGGTAATTTTTTTTCTCTAACACTTCTACTAAACCTGTTGATAAACCCCTAAAACTCTCTGGTTATTATTCAGTTATTAATCTTATATCACTGCAACTAATAACTCTTTTATAATTGGTTAATCTATTCATTAATACATTCCATTAATCAGCTAATCAAACCATTATGTCTTCTGCGGTTTCTCTTACTTTGTCTTTGTCAAGGCGCTACCAACATTTAAAGTTCTGTGTACGCAACAGGCAGTTTCTTCCTATGTGGTGCACAAAACAACAGAAGACATATCACCCACTGTGCTTCCTGTAGTGAACTGCAATCTGTGCCATGTATACAGTTGCATGCAAGAGTTTCAACACCTCTGATCAAATTTTTCTTAGTAAAAAGAAGTCAACACATCCTCTAAAGAGGACAGACTTATATATATATATATATATATATATATATATATATATATATATATATATATATGGCATTTTCTGTTTATTTGTTTAACATATTGAAAAAAAATAAAATATAAAATGTGTCCTAACCTTTTACGCCACATGTCATGTTTTATTTTTTTTTTTTTTCAAATATGTTAAATTCAGCAAATATACAGTAATTTTGCATAATCATATGCAGAAGTGTGTTCTCTGTAAAGGCGTGGGTGGCGCTGTCGCCTCACAGCAAGAATGGCCTGGGTTTGATTCCCGGCCAGGCGACTGGGGTCATTTCTGTGTGGAGTTTGCCTGTTCTCCCCGTGTCTGTGTGGGTCTCCTCCAGGTACTCCGGTTTCATCCCACAGTCCAAAAACATGCAGTCAGGCTGGTTGGACATGCTAAATTGCCCCTAGGTGTGAGTGAGTGTGTGACTGTGTATGTCTGTCTGCCCTGCGATGGACTGGCGACCTGTCCAGGGTGTATCCTGCCTTCCGCCCAATGACAGCTGGGATAGGCTCCAGCACCCCACCGTGACCCAGAAGCATAAGCGGTTTAGATAATGTATGTATGTATGTTCTCCGTAAAGGATATGTCAACTTATTTTTACCTTCAATATATCAACAAAACACTGACGCCCAAACTTTTGCATGCATCTGTATCATGGACATATCATTACAGAGCGCTTTTTTCAGTAAACGTCATGTTCAGACATGAATTTTTCATAACTGACATTATCAACAACAAGTTGATGTTATACCTATTCAGTAACTGCTGCCCTTTATGGTTTAAGGGGTTAATAGATTAATTTAAAGGAGACATTTAAACAGTGAAATCATCAAACTGTGCTAGATTGTGAGCTCCCCTGATGCAGACTGCCCTCAGTAGGCAAATTCCATTCACAGGAAAGCCAGTCAGTACCACTGACTGCTGTAAATTAAGGCCTTGAGACCTCAACACTGCTCCCTTTGCCTTTCCTCCTGACATGTTCAATCAGCTCAAATTCAGTCAAACCAGTCGATTCAGTCAAAACAGACCCAGCTAAAGTAATCATCTCTCATGCCAACTCGTTGTAAAACCATTCCTTGGAATTGTTCCTAATCTGATTCTTCTCTGCCGTTCAAACAGAGGTAGCAGACAAAGTGTACAACCTGTACAATGGCTACACCAGCGGCAAGGAGCAGCAGACGGCCTACAACACACTGATGGAGATTTCACCGCCCATGCTGTACCGCGTGCAGCACCATTACAACTCGCACTACGAGAAGTTCGGGGACTTCGTTTGGAGGAGTGAGGACGAACTGGGACCCAGGTGAGATGCCAGGCTAAAGCACTTTTCTCAGGCACATCCACAAGTAATGTTGGAATTTAGAGGGGTAACACTTAATTTGGATAGTCCACTTCAGATGCTTCGTAGATACTCTATTTACTTTCAAGTTACATTCAGCTAAATATCTACTAAATTGACCATAATTTTCTGTAACTCTAAACCTGACTCTAATCCTAACCCTAACCTTAAAAACCTAAACCCAACCCTAACCCTGGTCCAAATCCTAACCCCAACCCCCAAGTTTCAACAGATGGTTTGCTAACAATTTTAACATCTGTGGACAATCTATAGGGGACTACAGTGGACAATCCAAATAAAGTGAGACCATTGGAGGGTAATAGTACTCTAATGTAGGTGATTTAGGCCCAGTCCCATTCCTTTTTTACCCCTACCCCTTGTTTTCAAGTGTCACCTTGCCCCTTGGAACTGATTCACAAGGGGTAGTGGTTGAAATCTTCTCCTATGAAATGGGACCCTCAAATAAAAAGAGCATTACTTCATTAACAGCTACTAGCGCTGCTCTGTAGGCGACCCTGCCAGTCTGCAGTGACAGCAGAGGAGGGTAAAGTTCAGCTCCTCACTGCTGGGCTTTGGTTACATTTAGGGGATCAAATGCCTTCAAAGAGGGGGGTACAACAATTATTTAGTATTGCCCACCCCTAATTCTTCAGTGATATGAAGCTGAAGTCAGCAATTTGCCAGCTTCTCATTCTAATTTTCCCGTTCCACCTTAAATGGAGCAGCAGTTACATGCTGGCCTTCAGGCGTCAGAACTGCTGGACTTTTTAAGGTGGAACGGGAAATTTAGCTAGCTAACTACCAAGACATTACCATACTATTAGCATTTTTTTAATGCTTTTGATTAAGAAAAGGACCATAATACATTGAAACGCCATTAAACTAAGGTAATACGATGTAGGGCAAGGGGTGCAATGGGACTGGGCCTTAGTTAGCCAACTAATCACTTACCAGATTACACTGTTAAATCAGCTTTTGTGTGAGCAACTGTTTTATTGGCTTTTTTAGCATAGTATACATCATATTTTATAAGTTACAAAAAATTACCGAGCATCTCAATACTCAAACTACACCCTCCCTCCGGCTGCTCCACCTAGGTGTGGTTGTGGATTTCAAGTCCTAGAAGTACAGTTTAAAAAATAAATAAATAGATGCATGAATTGTAAAAAAATACTGCATACATATCAACTTTGAGTAAACAAAAATAAAAGAGGCTTGACTTGCTGCCATGACTGTTGCTGGCTTTCCCACCAGGTAACATACAGCTGTATAAAGAGGAGGTGATGCATGCGGGTTCACAACATTAACCTACTCAAGGGATTTCAGTCAACCTGTCACAGAGTTAAAACTAGATTTGTTGATTTGTTTATTAGCCTAGATTGTATATTATAGCATAGACATTGCATTTCTTTACTGTTTTTGCCTGAAGCAGCTGGCATGCTGCACGCAGCACGTATCAGAAATAGGCCCAAAGCATATTTTTCTGCTTCACACGCGTATCGTTAAAGGCTGCATTGATTAATGTAGGTACGTATTGCATCATGCAGCATGGTTATCACATCTGGTGTGAAGTGGGCTTTAAGATCAGTGGTAAATTGATGCTAACATTTAAGTATCTCTGGACAGCACAAAAAATAGTGTAAAAGAGTATCCAACATGAATACATTACATATAGAAGATTGGATCAAATGCACATAAAACCATACATGTGGAGTCAAGTAAATCCAAGTAAGCATTTCCAGTGTGTCCAGAGTCATGAAAAACTACTGATTGTCCAGATTGAGATCCTCCATACTGAGCATGTCCAGAGTGATATGTCTTATGCTGAAGTTGGTTAGTAAGTTACTAAAATGTTGAGTCAAGTGAACTTAACAGAACAATAATCTGTCTTTTGCTATGTCAATTTCAGTTAACTCAAAATTCAAGAAACTTAAAATCTCAACTTTTTGATGTTAAAGTTACTGAATTGTCACTTAAGTGGTCCCCCTCACATCAACCCCTCAGTGTCTTTAGTTAGGGAACAAAATTGTACCACATTCCATCACAATCATGTTAAGATGAATTAACTCCATACACCTTGTCTCGACTCCAGGCTTTATATTTAATTTTTTTTTGAAACTTTAGGTTCGGTTTATTGTTTTGCTGTATCTGTGTTGACAAGAAGAGGACGGGTTCACCTTTTGAGTTCTGGTTCCTCTCAAGGTTTCTTCCTTTTGCTTTAAGGGGGGTTTTCCTTGCCACATTTGCGCTTGGCTGGCTCATTTGGGTCTTGGACCCAGATTTTCTATGAAGCTGCTTTGTTTTAACATCTATATCACTGCTGTCGGAGCAAAACCTTGTATCTCCATTTTTCTGTTTTTGACAGTTGCCTGTTGCCCTTGTCAGGTTCCATTGACTTACATTAACCCTTAGAAACTTAAAATTTCAAGGAATTTTTTGGGGTTTTTTTTTGGGTCAATTACAATTACAATTGCAATTATAAAGTATTTATATGAGACAGTCACACAGGCCATATGTTGTTATTTTGGGCTACTCAGATATGCCATTGTTTGACATGTAAATGTTAATTTGATATCTTTATGAATTTGGGTCATTTCTGATCAAAGATTTACCTAGCGCCTGCTAAATTTTGTATTTTGTTCATTATCAAGATCTTAAAAACAAGTGCAGTTGTAGTTATCTTTTCAGAAATTGTTAATCTGGAGTGTCTGTGAGCTGAAAACTTACTAATAATTTTGATGGTCATTCATTCTATCGGTTATTATGAGTAAAAATAAACAGTTAGCATGTTTTTGGCCATGTTTTATTATTGATTTTCTGTCCTCTTGGATTCATGCTCAGTGCTAAAACTCTGATACACAGCAAGACAGACTTTATTTTTAATTATAAATTGAGTCGCATATTTAATATCAGATATTTTTAATACTCAAAATCAAGGTAAACTGAAAGCCCTTTGTTTATTATAGGAAGGATAAAAGCAGAGAGGTAATATAACAGTAGCGAGCGGATTTGGGTGATTTTGGAGCTGGATTGCTGGCTGATCGATGGTCACAGGTGGATGAAAATCACTCTGGATAGCGAAGCCATGATTCTGATGAGTGATCTGGTTATGAATCATGTCGCTGTTTGAACATGAACACCAAATATCAGAGCAATAATATCAGGATTTTAGGTGATTTCCCGTGCCAAATTGCTCACTGATGCTGACGTCACAGCTCGATGACATCATGCTTGCTAGTTAGGGGCGGGTCTGCTAAATGTCCTGATATGTGGATCATGAAGTTGGAACTTTGGAGACACAAGGTTTTGCTTGACAGCAGTGATACATAAGAAGCATTATATAAATAAATCTTGACTTGACTTGAGGTTATCCACCTTTTCACCTTTGAGGATACATTTATGTACCTCGATGAACAAATATGTACCTCTACACTAGTCTTTTCTTCTGGCTGTGTAGATACAAGTTGCATAGATACAAAGAATGGAGTGCCTGGTATAATAAATTGTTCTATCTTGTCTTTAAAGTATCATAACAGAGAAACCAACCTGGCACCTTCTACAAAACTTTCTCCACTGTTAGACTCCACACTACAGGTAATGAAAGTGGCCCCCTCTGTCAGAACTGAAACATGATTGTACCTTAATTTTTATTCTCTAGTATGATTGGTTCCATTATTTCTGTATCAAAGTTGATATGGTTAACGTTTCAGGTCAGTTGCGATGCAAGTAAGTGAATCCTTGGGGCCCAGTTTAACTCTTAAACACATCCTGCACTTCAGCACCCAAGAGCTCAGTGCACCCTAAACACAGAACATGGCCGAATGTAATGGTCAGTTGTTTTGTTTGCAGTGTATCCTCCAACTTACTTTAACTGACTTCTCCCTACCTCTACTCCTTACTCTCTCTCTCTCTCTCCTTCTCTCTCTCTCTCTCTCCTCATCTTGTCACACACATACATGCACATAAACACCATGGTCAGCAGTAATTTTGGCCTGCAAAATATTGGTTTAGGCTTCCAGTGCAAATCCAAGCCTATAAAACTAATCATGAGCAGGCTTGTTCCATTGGAGGACCATCTCGTAAGAACATAAATCTCATAAAAGAATCCACCCCGGTGCTGCAGTATATTTTCATATTCGTTTATTCAAGCCCATCCGATGTTTTTATTTCCTTTCATTTACCTTTTTATTCATATTTTCTGCGTCAAAACTGGTGACTGGACACCGGCTCAAGTCGACAAATTACAGTCTTATTATTCCAAGCTCTTGGGGAGAGAACGCCAAACGTTTTGGGGTCTAACGAATGTGGGCAAAGTGGCTTCTGGCGCAGCCTGAGCGGTGCGGTGGACTGTGGCCACGTTGGTGTGCATCTGCAGAAGAGTCCCTCTTAAAACTGGCCTCTCCGCTTCCCCATCGAGGTCCGGAGCACCTAGCAAATTCAGGTGCGCTTTTTAGAGCTTCAGAGCCGGCTGGCGTGTCCGAGGTGTTTCCCTCAGGGAGCTGAGGAACAGGAGCAGCTGATGTGTGTTGGCAGGGTTCAGACAACAAGTGGGGGAAAAAAAGGAAGGTTCTCCCTGATGATTGAATGCCTGTGTCCGATCATGCCCCAGTCGAGCTGGGTTAGCAAATCCTGAACGGTTATGGTTATGAAACAGTGACTTAGCCAGAAGAAGAGTATCTACCTTCGATGTGTCACAGCATGTTCTGAATAGCTACAGTGTGGTTTATTTGCAAGGAGGTGATTTAGCTAGTGGAAGTGTAGAGTTATTACTATCATTTTGTTACAGTTTCCAAATGTAATTGCATAATTAATTACATTGTTACTATGTGTGAATTACCTTTACATTCGATTTACAGTCTTTATTAACAGGAATCTCAGCTTCCTTTCTCTTTGTTTTAGTGCGAAGGGCAGAAACGTAACTTTTTTTCTAAGCAAAAATGTAAAGGTTGTTTTTTTGATAACAC